CCCGCCCCGCCCCTCCCTCCCGATAACCACCCAGCGGACACCCGGCCGGACCACCGACGTGACCCTGACCCTCGGGCGGGTCGGGCTGCCCGTCACAACGACACGGCTGCTTCCAGAACACCGAGGAACGCGAGGACGCCGACGGCTCCGGAAGCGCCAAGACAGGGTGGCCGTCGGCGGCCTACGCACAACGTCGCAGGTCGCAGGCGGGCCCTTGAAGAAGGGGGAGAGAGGCCTACGCCGAGAGAGCTATGAGAGCCAGAGCCCGTCATCGACAGGCTCTCCGCGGGGCACTTGTTCAGCATCTGCACGCAAGCTCTCATAACGCCTGTCGGGTAGGCAACAACCCCCCTGCAGTGCACGCGTGCACCGCGGGGTGGCCTACCCCAAGTCTCGCAGGCGGTTAGGCCGCCAACCGCCCACACCGGTTTACGGCTCCGTGGCCTACCTGCGCCTAGACAGGCGCTTCTGGAGTAGTATTCGGTCGTTCGTTACTAGGGATTATAAAGCCCAAAATTACTCCATACAAATTCGGAACTTTTTCAGAAAAACTTAACTATTTTCAAAAAAGATAGAAAAAAATGGAAATGAACGAAAAAAAAATCAGATATTGAAAGAAATTATTTTAAAAAATTCAAAATTACTTTACCGGAAGATTAAAATCCATAGTCGTTATCAGCCACGTTCGTGAAACAGCAAATTAGAGAAACAATTGCGCTACGTAAATTGTACAGACCTCCCCCCCCCCACACACACACACACAGGCACACCAACACTGTACTCACTGCTCCAGGAACCACTCGCCGTACGATCCGGTGTAGTTGGCCAGCTGGGAGCCCCAGCTGTCGGTGTGGGTGTCCCGGATCTCCTCCGTGAGGTTGAAGAGCATGTCGACGTCGTCCTGGTCGGCGAGGGCGCCGCCGCTCCACACGTACTGCGCCGCCGATTTGGAGATCCTGCCCTGGTGCTCGAGCAGCTCGAGCGGCCCGGCCATCTCGTAGACGACGTTGCCCACCTCGCCGTGCACCCACTCGGCGCCCAGGTCCACGATGTTCTCCGCGAAGCGCACCGTGTTGACGCGGCCGCCGATGCGCGGCTCGGCCTCCAGGACCGTCAGGTCGAAGACGTTGTTCTCCATGAGGCGGGCGGCGGCCGCGTAGCCAGCCGCCCCCGCGCCGATGATGAGGATGCGGCTGTGGTTGGACGGCGCGCTGCAGGACGGGGCAGCTTTTAGGCAAATGCTCACGTGACATCGGGAGGGGTGGAGTACTTTTCTCACGGCCCTCCAAAACTTCAGGCAGTTCAAGGGTCAGGAGTGAGCCTGCCTTTCGGAGGGATCCAAAGAGTATGGGGCCAAAAGGTTCGAGACAGTCATGGGGACCAATGATATTTGTACCCCGGGGTCGCGAATATCATGGGGTTCGTGCGACTCGACTGAACGTTTTCGGACCTCATAATATTTGGACCTCCTCCTAAGCACCTGGTTTGTTGTGCGCGATCCCGACGCCACAGTAAAGTTACCCTAAAGTTTAGCACAGTCATTACTTTTTTTTACGTGCGGGGATACTTTTTCCATATCATCTCCAACACATTTCTTTGATCTATAATAATCGGCTGTCCTGATGATAATTAAGGTAACCGTGGGAAAAGTACCCCCCACCCATCGGTCTCTTACCCCTGCGGGCGGCGGCGCGGGGGCTGGCCCTCGAGCGGGAGCGCGGCGGCCAGCGCCAGGAGCGCCAGCAGCAGCAGCCAGCGGCCGAGGTGCAGCTGCGGCAGCTGCGGCAGCTGCGGCAGCTGCGGCTGTGGAGCAGAAAGAGGGAATCAGCGCGGGGAAGTCCCCACAAGAGACACGATACAGTACAGGGAAGGCGTTAATGTTTATGTCAACGAATTGGTTTCATTTACGTTCTGTCATACCGCCATTATACCGAAATAGTGGCAGCAGCGCATCAACATTTTATAGACCACTTAAATTAATTTAATTTCCAGCTGATGTGAAACAAAATTCTAATGGTTTTGCAAATTTTATTTTGTACTCGCAGATAATTACGAAATGTCACATAGTATAGTCGGGTGCCAGGCCCCGCGTCGCAGTGGACGAAGGGGTGGGGATGGGGGGAGGCTGCGGTATCAAAGAAAGACAGACAACTCGGCAACTCAGATGCTCGACTGAGCAAACAAACAACGCAATCACCTCGGGAGAGGAAAACTGAATTCACAATCATCATCGTGCAATTTCTGAGGATTCTGTCGCATCTCGTCTCATGCTGCACACGTCTCTACACAATTTGTCGTTGTTGTTGCGCGGGTTGTTTGTTGAGTAGGCTGGAAAAACAAGGGTAGGACCAAGGCAATCCCATATGCTATAGGGAACCACCACGGAGTGGGTCACGCATGAAGTTTGTTTTTGTTTTCATTTGTTTATAACAGCGGTTCAGCACCGCCGGTGTCTACCGAGGGGTGCTTTTCTATAAATTCAAGCGTAAGCCAATTTTTCTGTTTTTGTTTTGTTTTTGTTTTTTTTGGTTTTTTAAATTTTACTGATAATTTCTTATTTGTCATTCATTTTCCCTTGATTTTTGTTAACTTTTTTTCTGATTTTTTTTGTAACTGACGGTTTTTGGAGGGTGTACGCTTTTTTTTTTCATTGAAGTACCCTTCGGCGTCCTTAGGGTCAGCTCCAGCGAACAGGCCACAGTACTCACCAGCGGTGTGCGGGGTGCGGGTGCGCGCGACATGGTGCCGTGGGTGCGACTCGTGCGACTGCCGCGGGCCTCACATGGACAGCGCCTGGTCGAGCCTCGCGCCGGGACAAGCCGAGCTGCCGGGGGGAAACAGACACACCAAAAAAGAAAAGATAACACATTAGACCTGACAGATGCCATGCAATTATGAGGGAACCAAAATACGAGGAGGGAGAACAGGGGGGAAAGGGGTGGGATAGCACCCCACTCTCGCACGTGCCGGCTCAGCAACACCACACAAACACAATAAATACCCACAAACTATTTCCTCGTTTTCTCCTTGATTGTACTTTTCCCTGACCTCCCCCCCTTTCCCAATAATACGCGATGTTTGTCCCCGTTTTTCCCGTTTTGACCTTGGCCCCGCATCATCGGCTTTCCTCTTTCTCCCCCTCCTCGTACCACGAGAGCGCGACCCTGCGCAGCTTCTTCGACTTTCAGTATATCTATCGCACATCGCGGAGCTCGCGGAGCACGCGGAGCGGACCCCCGTCTCTCAAATAGGATCGCGTCACTCCTCGGCCTTCACCTTGGCGTTGGCGGCCCGCGCCCGCGCCCGCCGGCCGGCCGGGGCAGCTCGGCTGGGCTCTCTGTCGCGGGCGCGCCAAGAGGCCTCCCTGCGGCTCGGAACAACGACCCAAACACGGAGCTGGAGACGCTGCTGGGGCTGTTAGTGACGGTACCTGGCCGCATCCCACGTCGCAGACACTTACACACTCACTTTGCACACACACACACACAAACGCACTTGTTCATACACGTTCAATGGAGACTTTGTATTCTACCTGTGCAGTAGTGGTCTTGTGTTTCGGGACAGCTCTCAGCATCACCTGGTTTTGTTTTTGGCGTCGTGTGCGCACGAATCACAACTCAAAGTCATACTGTTTTCTTTTCTTCGTGGATAAGTGGGCGGCGGTGGGTGCATATCTGCGGTGCTGCTGGTAATAATCTAATAATGCAGGCCAAGGCTTGTTGTAAATAAATACCGAAATGTAGCGGACACGTGTGCGACACACCGGCTGCTGTCGGCGGGCGCCGCGGGGGTAGGCCACCCAGCGGCGGGCGCGCGCGCAGGTGTGGGCTCGCTGCCTACCTCCCAGGCGGCCCGCTGCAGCCCGTGCAGAGCCACGCCCCGCTGCTCCCCCCGCAGCAGTCGCTATCGTCGGCCCGGCACGCCGGCGACGCCCCGACCCCTCAACTCCTCCTCCTCCTCCTCCTCCTCCTCCCCGACCCTCAGACAGACGTCGTTCTTTTTCTTTCCAACCTCCCCGGCGACGTGCGAGACCTCTATCTCCGCGCACCTCTCGCCTTCCCCGGCCCACCGTCTCGTTCGTTCCCGACGTGTCGAGTCGCTCGACACCTCCCCGTCGTCGACGACGACTCGGCTCCGTTGCGATCACCGTTCCCTTATCCCGTTCGCCGGCCGGCTGCAGGTGCAGGGTGCGTTGTTTCCCCGAAGGCCCTTCGTAAACGGCTCCCTGGAAATCGCCCCACTTTTGCGAGCGTGGTCTCCGCTATCAAGAGGGTCGTTGTTTTCCCGACGACGGCGAGGAAGGTAACATGAAAGCATCGAGCTCTCCTGGAAGTGTCCACACCCCTGCCCC